GATGATGTCAAAACCTTGTCGAAACGTTGTACATTTGCTGTTATGTTAAACTTATATTAAAGCTTTTCTTCATTACCCATTCAAGCCGTCTCCAGCCATTAATAGTAACAATTAGTCACAAACATTGACAATAATGGTAACAATTAGTCACAGATATTGACAATCATAATAACAATTAGTCACAGACATTGACAATAATAGTAACAATTAGTCACAGACATTGACAATAATAGTAACAATTAGTCACAAACATTGACAATAATGGTAACAATTAGTCACAAACATTGATAATAATAGTAACAATTAGTCACAGACATTGACAATCATAGTAACAATTAGTCACAAACATTGACAATAATAATAACAATTAGTTGCAAACGTCAAGGACAATAACTAAAACTAGTCGTAAACACCGAGAACAAAATCTAGATGCATACTTTCAGACCAGTAACAAAATTAGTTACTAAGCATGAGAATGCTAACAAAAGCTAGTTATTCCCCGGGTAGGACAACGGTCAGTTTAAGGACTTACAACGCTCTAATCCGGGGCTCGATTCCTCGCGTTGGACACAACAGACAGCCAATTGTGGCTTTTCTCGAAAATAAACAACAGAAAGCTAGTTACTCACAGAAATAGTAATACTTTCGCTACAAGTCACGACAGTATTTGCACTGTCTGCCAAGTCAGCAGTGTTTCTGAAATTAATATTCCTGTACTTTTTGCATGATGCATGGACATACATGAAACCCAGTGTAAAATGTTACTTGTGAAACAGTCAATATAATATACGTGTATCAAATGAAACCTGATGGTCTGGTAGAAGAAACAATGTATCTGTACATAATAATACATCCGGCTTGGGATTTTTAACTTCTTTGAGTTTGAATTATCAACGCTAAAGTTCAACTTAAAAGTAAAAACAAACAAGTAAAACGATTAAATATATATATATTTGTATTCTTTACCTCCCACGTAACTTTCACCGACTGTGAACTTGTAGGCTCAGCTTGGACGTTGACTGGAGGTCCTCCAGGAGCTGTATGGTTATTCATTAATATATTAGGAAAAAATACAATTTACTTGTTGACATTTGAAATGTTTATTAGATTTTGAGTAAGAACCACGATTTTTATTACTGTGGTGTAACAACATTTTAATATTATACTAATAATCTCAAAATATTTGTGATAACATCATCGTAAACTATTCCTATGATTTAGCAGGTTTCATTTTCTTACATTAAAAACACATTACGTAACGAAACATGTATTTTCTTACATCAAAAACACATCACGTAACGAAACGTGTATTTTCTTACACTAAAAACACATCACGTAACGAAACATGTATTTTCTTATACTAAAAACACATCACGTAACCAAACATGTATTTTCTCACATTAAAAACACATCACGTAACCAAACATGTATTTTCTCACATTAAAAACACATCACGTAACCAAACATGTATTTTCTCGCATTAAAAACACATCACGTAACCAAACACGTATTTTGTCACATTAAAAACACATCACGTAACCAAACACGTATTTTTTCGTTTCATGAAGTTCTTAGTTCTCACATTCTTCCTCAGTTTTGACACGAACTGGTTCACTCAGGCCGCTAAATCCCAGGCTGTTTATCGCTCGAACCCGAAAATCGTACATGGTGACTGGTTGTAAACCTTTAATTGTCGTCATTGTTTCCGACCCATGCACTGAATTATTATTTACAGAAGTACTGTGCTGCCATCTATCTGCAATAAGTAGTGTAAAAATGGTTACAATTTAGCACTTGATATCGTTTTGTTAGATTTGTTAACGTAATATGAAATTATGAAACAATGATAACAATAATAATAGTTTGTTTATTGAGAATAAAAAAGATGGAGAGAACTACCAATGCAGATAGTAAGAAACTATAAATAAATGATCATAATATTGTAACTGTGTTAATTGTGAGCGTGTACTGTTAGTCTAACAATTAACTTATACGTTTTAGTTCTGATCTGCATTGTTAGCTTTCTTTTGATCATAGATTATTAATGATAAGTAAGTAGAGGAGGTCTTACCTTTTTCTTCTTTCCACTGGACTTCGTACTCTATTATGGGAGAGTTGCCGCTATAAGGTGAAGCCCACTCTATTGTTACACTTCTACTGGTTACTAGTGTAACTTGCAGATCTTGAGGGGTATCGGGTGGTTCTGCCAAAAATATGATGAGCTGATAAAGTTAGATAAATATCATATCTGTATAAACATTAGTATGCATGTGTTTGGAATGCAACATAAATATCTCTACAATTCAACAGAGGGCGTCACAATTATTTATTCTTGGTATTTTTCACCTTCGGTAAAAGTTTTAAAAATTTTTGTACAAATAAGTATAAGCACTTTTTATCAAATGTTATACCTTCATGGATTTGCCCTTGACCATACAAGTCTTTGCTTCTGTCATCACAATTGATAAGTCACAGGGTCAGACATTTGACCACTTAAGGATATTTGTTCCAGAACCAATTGTTTTTTTTTGTTTTTTGTTGTTGTTTTTTCAGGTGGTCAACTCTATACAGCTTTATCAAGAAGTAGATTTAAAAATAACATCCAAACATAGATAAGTCCAAATTTTAATGAAGGACCACTTGCACTCGATGATAAAATAAAAAATAAATTTGTTTTTCGTGAAATACTGTAATGTGATGCTCAAATAGTCTACTGAATCGATAATATTGTAAGATAATTCAAACTATAAATGTTTAAAACTAGAGGAAATAATAAAATCAAACGAACTGTTAATTCAGTAAAGAAGGTTGATCATATCGAAATATAAATTGCTAGCTCAGACATTTTGCTGATATGTTTGTTTACTAACAATGACGAGTGATGAAATAGTCCAAATTTCGATTTTTTTCACTTAAAAAACGCTTTTGCTGGGTATTTTAAACCATTAAACGTTATTAATTAGGCTGTGGCTTGTTTTGGTCTGATACCTTTTGCTAGGCTTAAAAAGGTTTATTTCGTCTTCAACTTAGTCGCTCTACGCCTCTAAATTAAAATTCATGCTATTGGTATTTCTACGCATAAAATTTATGATGTTACTACAGATTTCTTTTCTTTTCATCAAAGGTAAAATTAAAAAATGTAATCTGTGACAAAAAGGCCTAATATTATTAAGAAAAAAAAACGTTTGCAAATGCCTACACTTGAGCATTGTCCATTTATTTTTCCAATTGACGGTAATTTTTTTACAAGAACATAGACATATACATATTTAGATATTTCAAATTTCAATAACTTTAATTTGTATTTGAAATTAACTTTTCAATTTGCCATTGTTTTCAGATGTTATAGATGTCTACTTTCTAATGTTTATTTTTGCTAAATTAATGTTACCTTTTTAATTATATGTAATCTTATGCAAGTGATGCAAGTATAAAATGTCGCAGACGTACACACAAATGATGATGAAATATACACAATAAAACATTATTTTTTTGTGAAATGCTTGTAATTTTATTTATTAAAGCAAAGTCATATTAGGTTATTTCCTGTGTCCACCGCGTGAAATCGAACCCCGGATTTTAGCATTGTACGTCCATAAACTTACTGCTGTCCAACTAGGGGGAACTCATGAAATACCTAAAAAGGATAAGCAGCTTTTGTATATATTGTTATTATAATTCATTTTTTGAAAATATGTCAATAAAATATTTATTTAGAACAAAATTTCCTAAACAAGATAAATAAGTATTCATTGCCATATGAAAGTTAACAAAAAATACTGTAACAAATGGTATGTAAACTATAATTTTGTATATTTATTGATATTGTAGTAATTCAATTTTTTACTGAAACTCGTGTGGTGGTGAAACTAACATAGATTTTGCTAGGACTAGATGTTTCGATTGTGTGCTATTTCACACTCTTGGACGCAACATATGTTATAATCATGGGTCCAATAATTTTAACAGATACAGAAGGATGCTAAAATGTTACTGTTTTAAGCAATACATTCAATGTTTTAATTTACATGTTTGCTAGAGGGCGCAGGATGCTAAGTTTTAGAAAATTCATAAAAGATAAAAATCGAGAAACTTTGTGTAATAAAGAAGCAATAGTACGAGATAAATATGAGTAATCAGTAATGATTGAGTGAATTCACTGTATGAAAGGTTATTTAATGTTAAAAGTAAGAGTTAGCGAGTCTATTCTACTCTTCAGTTACTGACTTATTGTATTTGTTTATTGATCTAATCTAAGTAAGTTAGGCGTTGGTACTAGTAGTCTCGTAATTTTTGTTGAAACATTATATTTGGAGTTAGGCTTAGATTAGATCCGGAATTTACACTGGACAATTTATTTATGAAATCAAGCCTAAATGTAAACGTGGTTGTAGTAAATTCGATTTCGAACCCACTTTGAGACTAACAATGGTTGGAGACGGCTTGAATGGGTAGTGAAGAAAAACTTTAATATAAGTTTAACATAACAGCAAATGTACAACGTTTTGACAAGGTTTTGTCATCATCAGGTGGTTGTAGTAAACGTTTATTGAAGAAATAAGTTAATTCGTTATTATTAAATGGACTGAACTTAGCATTGGTTTTACCAAATAAACGATAAAATATGATATAACACTATTGTTAGTAGTGGGGTTATTTTGATGAAAATGAAATAAAACCTTGACTAAATTTCAAGTTGACAATCCGCTTACGAAGTGTCATCGATACAGTATCAGAGACGATGAAACAATTAAAAGGTGAAGAAGAAAAAGAGAGAAAATTAAAAGAAGACCAAGTAGAAATAGACCTGAAAGCTAAAAGAACGAGACAAAAAATTAAAAGATGAAGAAGAGGAAAGAAATAGGAACTGAAGGAAGAAGTTAAAAAACATAATATTTAAAAAAGAATTAAGAACAAAAATAAATATTATTGTAGACAGGGTCGATGAAGCAATTGGAGGTGTATATGGAGATGTACGAAGGGTTTGCAACAGTAAAACTGAAGAAATACAAAAATACATTTATATTGTATAGAAAGACTATAATAGAAATATGAATGAGGTTGAAAAAAACATCAATGACAGAATAAAACATTTACGATATTAATTTGTAAATTCAAAGATAAAGCTAACCATATCTTTTCTGCATCTGCCCAAGAATTCCAACCTAAGACACCATTCACTATAAAATATAGAAAGGTGTAACCTATTTGGTCCATATCTGTTATCATTATTACTGTGACACTGCTGGACATTCCTGGACTACTACAGCCACCAAATTACAAATGAAGTTTCAGAATTTAGCTGGATGGTTCAACAACATTGCCCAATCAAGAAATCAATGGACTATGGTGAAAAGGTACCATGTGGGGCTATAAAAATCAAGCTCATTTTGCAATCATTTCCACAGTGAACGTGTGGAATATGGAACAAGTTATTAATTTTGCTTCTTATTTTTATATATCAACCAGCTTTAATGACATTAAGTAACCTTCAAATTAAGAGATTTAACAGCTATCAAGCATTTGTAGTTGCCTCATCCAACAGGTTTGGAATGACACAAGGAAGTAATATATAGAAATAAGGGTACGATATAAATGAGTGATCAGTGATGACCAAGTCAGTTCAATGTCAGAAAATGTATTCAGTGTTAGAAGTGAGAGTTGTCACATTTATTCTGCTATTCAGTTACTCAATGAGTTAGCAAGTTTGTTTATCGATCTAAGCTAAGTAAGTTAGGAGTATGTATAATTAATCTTGGAACTTCTCTTGAAACATTGTATCTGAAGTAAGGCTTACATTAGTTTTAGAATTTATGCTGAAAAGTCTATTGATGAAATTAGGCCTACAAGTGGATATGGCTATAGCAAAGGTTTATTGGAGAAATAAATTAATTCGTTATCGTTATGTGTAGTGTACTTGGCATTGTTTTTATACAAAAAAGTACCCTTCCACCAATAGAACACGTTACAACATTATTTATAATTAGTACCACAATATATATATATATATATATACATCAAATATTTAAAGTATCTTTTCACTACTGCTTCCTAATATGATCGATAACTTTTAACATATTTTGTTTGTTAATTTCCGTCTTACCTTGCATAATCAGTTGGATATTCGTTTCGTCACTGCCATATGAATTGGAGGCAATACACGTGAACAAGGCAGAATCTCGTCTGTCTGCAGCATGTATAACCAGTAATGACGTCACACCATTAGAATGTACTGTTTCCGTAATGACATACCTAGAAATGTTTACAAAATTAAAAATGCAAAACAAAATCACACGCTCTCTATACTACCTATGATACTTTTTATCTTACCGAATACATTCAAAGTTACGGGTTTCATAGTTGCTAAAATTTAAATTGACTCGGGTGGTTAGCTAGTGTCTGTCTGCGTTTATGTTTCTCTATTGATCTGCTTGTCTGTCACTCAGTCTATTTGTAAGTCTAAAAATTGCCCAACCTTGATGTTTCTTGAGGATGAAATGGCTGTTGGTCTTTCAACCACACAATGAATATCGGTCGATCACCCTTAGCTTCACATTTAAGTTTAGCATCGTGGGCCCTCCTCACCGTTTCGGCTCGAAACTTCGAAGGAAAATGGGCAGAAACTGGAAACGATAAAAAAATTTCTCTATGTTTAAACTTATTTTATTTTAAAAAATCAGTTTGCCTATTTATAGAATCTTTGAATATTTCCACAGATGGTACTATTAATAGATATAGCAAAGAACCTGTAATACAGGTTTTGGCTTCAGTAAATGAAGTGTTATGCTTGATATTTAGCCCAAAGCTGCACAATGAATTACCTATTTTGTATTTGTTACATGGACCGAGCCCCAAATTCTAGTGTTATAAGACCTCAATGTTATCACTGAGCCAACGGGGATATAAATTAAATGAGTTTAATAGAAACACATGCGCCACGGTTATTGAAATATATTTCAAAGTAATACGTTTTTAACACACCTACAGCCTAAAAATGCGGAGCGCGATTGCAATTATTTTGCACCAATGGTATGCGTATGTACACAGCGTAGTCACAAGTAAATAGACACCACTTTTTCCGAAAAAAAATGTAATTTTTCGGTCATATTCACATGAATTGATATATTTATAATTTAATTAATATCTAGTAGATCTTCCTTTCGCTTCGTGGAGTTTCTTGATCCTTTGGGGAATCATGAGAATCATCTCGTCAATTTTAGATTGTGGGATTTTCGCCCACTCTTACTACAAAACGTGGAGTAGATCGCTCTTCGAAGTTGGTTTTTTGGTTGTTTCTTGACTTGCCGGTCGAGTATGGCCCAGAGGTTTTCGATGGGGTTCATGTCAGGAGATAGGCTCGGCCAGGGCAACTTCTGGATACCATTTTCTTCCTGCCACTTTTGGGTGTTTCTAACAGTGTGATACGGTGCTCCATCTTCCTGGAACAACGTTGGGTTCTTGCCACGATATCCGAGGAATAATGTGGCAAGAGTCCTTCCTCCAATATTTCGACGTATTTCGCAAAATTTATGTTGCCAACGCACTCCACTAAG